GATGATGCAATAAAGAATACTCAAATGGGATAAAGTTCCTTGTATATATTCTGTGAACCCAAGCCTTACATTTCTTATCTATTGTAAATTTGCCTATTAATATAATTCAGCGGTCCCGACTGTTAACGTGATTCATGTGTTGTCCTGTGACTGTCAACTATATATATCAAACCACAGAAACAATGTAGGCAATTATTAACTAAAAAGGGAATTGTAATACCATGATAAAGATAAAAATATATTCTAATAAATGTTATTGACAACAATAATAGTTGTAACACACAGACATGTACAGAACAACAACTCCATTTGCATGTGTACTTTTTAGTACTAATAACTTTTGAAGTACCATAAACTATTGACACAGAGATATGCCTCACCTTATGTAATATAGATAGTATAATGCAAATGTTGAAATTAAAATGGCAACACTTTAACATGTAAACTATGCAAAACATTCAAAGTCAACGAACCATGACTGAAGGGACAGGAGCAAATACCTGCTTGGAAATGAGAAATGCTAATATGCTAATGCAACTGCATCCCAAATACTTATAGATTATCGTCGGTCATCTCAACGAGATTGATTTTCTCGCTTGAGCCGGTAAGGCGAAAGTGAGAAAAGCAATCGAGTTGAGATGACCAATGATAATCTGTTTATCGCTATTTGTAATTTTAATTTCATTGACAACGGCACATGCACCCTTAGATTCTAAGATGAAAAGACATGGTTGTTGTTTTATACACACATTGGACTAATGTAAGAATCTGCTACTGCTATAGACAAACTGCATCATCACATCAATTAGTGGTATTATATGAACAAAAGAACAACAATATATATAAAAAGGTTAAACTGTAAACTGTTAACTTAAAGCTAGTGGCTGGGAGTTACAGTTTAGGTCTATTAGGGTCAAGCAAAGTAGCTCTTACCCAAGAACACAGACTTGGAACGGGTACCAAAAGAATGGGACAAGGTTTAACCTGATTGTGAGTTCTCAACCCTCCTCTGTGGCTGTTATGTACATGTATCAGCAGCGATATGTTTGTTGTTCTGTAAATGCTACAGTAATGGTTGTTATTTTCTGTACATATAACAGCTGTGGTTGTTATTTTGTACATGTAATAGGTATGGTTGTTGTTCTGTACCTGTAGCAGCTATGGTTGTTGTTTTGTAAATGTAGCAGCAATTGGTTGTTGATTTGTACATGTAATAGGTATGGTTGTTGTTTTGTATCTGTAGCAACTATGTTTTTTTGTTTTGTACCTGTAGCAGCTATGGTTGTTGTTTTGTAACTGTAGCAGTTATGGTTGTTTTTTTCTGTACATGTTACAGCTATGGTTGTTGATTTGTACCTGTAGCAGCTATGGTTGTTGTTTTGAACCTGAAGCAGCTATGGTTGTTGTTTTGTAACTGTAGCAGCTATGGTTGTTTTTTCTGTACATGTTACAGCTCTGGTTGTTGTTTTGTACCTGTAGCAGCTATGGTTGTTGTTTTGTAACTATAGCAGCAATGGTTGTTTTTCTGTACATGTAAACAGCTATGGTTGTTGTTTTGAACCTGTAGCAGCTATGGTTGTTTTTTTGAACCTGTAGCAGCTATGGTAGTTGTTTTGTAACTGTAGCAGCTATGGTTGTTTTTCTGTACATGTAAACAGCTATGGTTGTTGTTTTGAACCTGAGGCAGCCATGGTTGTTGTTCTGAACCTGTAGCAGCTATGGTTGTTTTTTTGTAACTGTAGCAGCTATGGTTGCCTTTTCTTTACATGTTACAGCTATGGTTGTTGTTTTGTACCTGTAGCAGCTATGGTTGCTGTTTTGAACCTGTAGCAGCTATGGTTGTCGTTTTGTAACTATAGCAGCTATGGTTGTTTTTCTGTACATGTTACAGCTAGGGGGGTTGTTTTGTAACTGTAGCAGCTATGATTGTTGTTTTTTTCACATAATAAGTATTTCCATTACAATAATTCTATTTTCTTTTCTTTGTTTTTAATCCATCTACTTTACATTGTAATTATATAGACCTGTCGAGAACTTGGTATGAAAGCAATTACCGGTACGGTATTAGAACAATCAATTTGTTCACACATCTTTTTCCAATCCCCCCAAGGCATTATTTCTGTGTCTAATAGCAAGTGATCATGGGAATACATCCATTAATTACTACATGAGTCACTAAAAACACATTTAATTAATGTCTGAATAAACCTTTTTTCAACATTATTTCACATGCATTTCAAATCAATCTGTATCCATAAAACTATTTCTAGTTATGGCAAAGGAATCTGACTATGATAACACATATGATGTTATTAATCTTTTGCAATGCAAATACAGTCATCTGATGCATGACAAAGACTATGGGCACTAACATACTTTACAATAGCTACACTAATTCATGAAATGAACCCCTCTGACCATTAGACTTTAGTCCAATCTTGGATTTAACACCTTACTGTTATATCAGGATGACTCATTAAGAAAGCTATCTTTGCTTTAACTAAGTAACAACAGTAACTTTCTGTAGGTCTCTAATTGAAAAACAAAATTACACTTCTGGAGGAGGAAGTCCAATGAAGAAATAACAATTTTTAATACTTTTGAATAAATTGCAGAATATTGTCAATGCAAGGAAATAATCTCATTGAATTGTGACATATTCATAATAAAGAAAAAACCATCAACAACATTTGTCCATAGGACACCATGCCCTGCTCACACTTTCACATTTCCAAACTCAAAGCATATATTTTAAAAGTTCACATCATAATGAAGTATGAACATGTTTACTAAGTTTTAAAATGATCTCAAGACAACATTATGATGAACTATGGAAAAATTTATCTTGATACCATTAGAACGGATGGACGAACAGACGAAGGGCATTGCTATGATCTAGCCCCCTCCTATTCACCCTTTGCAGATTAATTCAGAACTAAGGATCAACAAGGTAATGACTCTGATAAGGTCTCAGTCGTAACTGGCTACGTCCAATCAAACAGCATCTTCAAGAGGAACATGTTTAAATGCAGAAAATGTACATATTCAATTACAACATACAGATTGTGCCACAAGTCTTGTACCCCCAAAACATAGGACAATATCTAGTAACACTTACAAAGTTTTCTGATGCCAAGGATAAAGGGGAGGAAGGGGCCAAATCATAACCATTTGCTAGCAAAAGTTGATGAAGGGATGCACAGACCAAAAAATATAATGTGCCCCTACCATCTAAGGTGGCCATTAAAACATTTTCATTATTTCATATACCTTAGCAAATAATTCAAAAAATGATTGTCAGGAAACTATACTTTTCAAGGAGAAACTGTCATAAAATAGCTGTGTATTTCATTACAACTAAAATGTCATGTTTCAATCAGGTTTTCAGGTTCTGAGAGATTTGATGTAAATCAATAGTTGTGCAAGTTAACTTTGTGCTTTCTTGCATTAACTTTGTAAGATCTGTGTCTAATCTTAATTTCTATGTTAATTACAGCTATAACTTAATTAGATAAACAACAGCCAGTAATAAGTACTCTTAATGGGGGAAGTGTTTTCTATAAATACAACTGCTTTGGGTTTTTTTTGTGGGTTTTCTGGACTTTTTGTATGCACTCTTTTCAGCTAGCTTTATTCCTTTATTTTTTATTCTTTTTAACATATGCCAGAAATGTTTTTAAGTTTATTAATAATGCATCTCTACACATAAAAATAAGATAGAAGTCAATCACTAATATTGTTTCTATCACTTAACAAATATTGTTTTACTGGAAAAACATCTTCACACAATTACATTAGAGAAAGAAACGTCACACCTGATATCATGCCTACATTTTAACTGCTTTTTACTTTTTTGTATACTCTGATCATAGCTATGTCAATATTACATCTTCTCTTTTACATCAAGTAATTCATGTTAAATCCATACCTATCTGGACACAAATTGATACCATTCAATATACTTTTGAAGGACTGTTATTACATGCTTCTTATATTTCACAGCAAACAAGATGTTACGACTAATCTGATTTCAGTCCAGAGCCATTGATAAATCAGTTTCATATATCACCAATTATAAACAAATTTATTTATTTACCTGATTATATCCTGAAAATTAGCTTGAAATGATTTGATTGATTTAAATTTATGGTTTGAAGATTAACTCATTCCGACTCAATAGAAAATTTTCATTATTTGAGGGTTGATGGGAACTATTAAGAGAATTATAATTATTGCATGTTAATAAATAATATTCACATATTGTCCATCAAATCAGAGAATTAGGTGCAAAAACATTAAACTGCAAACAATCATGTATACGATGAATTTAATAACAATCTAATCATGTTTATTTCCATATAATAGTCATTAGTTCCAAATTCATTTCCAATTTTTGTAAATATTTTGTACATTATTCCTTCAATTTTAAATCTTCACTGTATAAATTTCTAATAAAACATATTATCAATAACTAACCTTATTTGATTTTAAATACCGTCATAACAACATAATGTATTTAACTGAATTTAATTATCTTAAAGGTATATCAATTTTAAAAATTGACAATAACATGACAATCACCTGTCTTCTTGCATTAAGTTTGTCTCATTTATGTTATATTCGTAGAATTTGATTTGTGGTCCCCCTTTTTATAACATTAGAAACTTTTGTTGCTCCTACTTGATATTCACGATAGTAATGTACAATTTTTGCAAAATTAATAAAATTTGATGTCCATATATATATATTTATGTTTCAAAACAATTTAAAGTGTTGGATGTGATATTTTATAAAACTTGATCTACATCTTAAGATAGCCGACCACCAGCAGTAAATTGTCCTAAACATGCAAAATATATTTTCCACTCCAACAATCAATCATTATCAGTATCATCAACCTTCAGATGGTCTAGCAACATTAAGACTGATCAAGACTACCAGGGAGATGTTATGGGACTATCAACATCTTTCCAGAGTTGTACTAAATCTGAAATACTTACAGTTTCCATGTAACAAAAACTCATCAACCATCACATGTTTGTAAGTAGAACCATAACTGCAAATAAAAACTAATAATATAAAAACCTAAAAAAAACAAAACCAAACAGCAGAGCCATAATATTCTGTATGTAAAAACACATTAATCAGTATAAAAATTGTTACACAAACATTCAGAATCCATCATTGTGGCAATTATTAACTTAGAAATGTAATAAATATATCTAGTATATCAATGAATACAAAAACATATTTTTCAATTACAGAATGACGGAGTAAATTTGACAATTCTTCTTGATATATATGAAGACAATATCTTTTGAGACTAGAGAATTATCACCACAGACAAATTCAATATTCATAAACACATCATACATAAGAATGGTATTTCCAATAGTATTTTGTCATAAAGAGTGACACAGTTTTGGATTGCTATTTGTATGGACCCAAACCATTCTTTACAAATAACACTATAACTTTGCTTGCATATTTTAGACTTGGGTGTGTATGTTATTAATTGATTGATTATTTGTTGCTAATTTAATGATTTACAATGGGAAATATTTCATGCATTGTATTCATGCCAATGTATATAAGCATAATTAAGCATGTGAGGTACTTATATAAATTAATAAAAAGTCTGCCAAAAGTATGACAAATTAATGCTTGGGCATCTGAAATTCCTCTGGCATTGCTCACATGATTTTTTAGGGAAGATCAATATTCCAAATTTTAACGGAAAGCAATTCAAACTATAACTTAATAAGATAAAAAAGAAGTCCAATTTGTACTAATTATTTTTGTTTTCTTAAAAAAAATATAGCTACCAGTACTTTTGCTTTTGTTAACATCAACTTTTGTTAAAATTTGCATAAAAAAACATAAAAACAGAATTAGTTTATGACTAAGTTGGTTGGCACTGTAAAATAACAATCAGTAGACAGAAATTAAATGTAATGTCCTGAAAGCTTAAGCAGACTTGCCAATAAATAAAATTACCCTGTCCTTTACAGAACAATGGACAGCAGATAACAATTGAGACATGTATTGTATTGTTTTAGTCTACAAAGTTTAAGCCTGACTGATACAGGTATTTATTCAAGTATACCCTATAGATCCCTTTGTAGCAAACAGACTGAACCCTGAGGCTGAGACTCATTAAGATTCATCTCTTCATAGTAAACATTCATCCCTATTCTAAAATAAATTGTGATTTATTCCGGTAAAATTTCAAGTTTAATACCTGTAGGCTGTCTTTCACTCTTTGTGCTATGTGCACAATGGCAATATGGCATACAAACAAAAGGTATTGTCTGACAGTTCACAAAGGGAAAAGAATTCAATTTATTTAAGCACACAAAGGAACTGTTCATTCATTAAACTATGATCTTCATAAAAAAATCATGCACATATTATGGCATACCACTATGGTATATTACAATATAATACAGCAGTATATTAAAGTTCATAGCATTTGTTATTGTTGGTCTTTTAACTAAAGAAAATGCATGTTGACCAAGCATAAACATTTGATGAAGAAACAGAGCAGCCTATTATAATTTCAAGGTTTAATCCTCAATAAGTCAACTGCTGACAAGTAGAAACCAAGACCACAACCATCTATCCTGCTTACAAGTGTTCACCAACAAATAGGCAGCAAAAACAATTAGATGTAGGACTTATTTATCCAATTCACAAGCTAACTGCTAGAGAAGAGAATGTATCATCATCTTTCATTTTTCCTGTTCTATAGGCCAAGGCCTTGAAGAAATATTTTCTATCAGATTTATTGTTGCACTTGTTCAAATATTTGTCTACAACAAGACCAGCAATCAAAAGTTAGTTTATGTATTATATTTCATAAGAAATGAATTATAATATATTACCTTATTACTACAAATAAACAGATTGCTTTTTTTGTAGTTTTCCAAATGTAGCTATAAATGTTTGTTACTCATTTTGTATAGTTTTGATAAACTAACTATAAAATGCTCCGCAGGGCGCAGCTTGATACGACCGCAGAGGTCGAACCCTGAACAGTTGGGGCAAGTATGGACACAACGTTCAAGCTTGATACAGCTCTGAATTTGGATTGTGATTAAATATTTGACACAGCATAGGTTTCTGACACAGAATGAATGTGGTCTAAGAACTTAAAAATTTTAAATTGGACATTCACCTATTATGGTCCAATATCCAAAATCAAAATACATGGTTAGATTCAGCATATCAAAGAACCCCAAGAATTCAATTTTTGATGAAATCAAACAAAAAGTTTAATTTTGGACCCTTTTGACCTCAATGTGGACAAAGTTGATAACAGGGCCCAAAAATCAAAAATCTAAATACATGGTTAGATTCAGCATATCAAAGAACCCCATATATTCAATTTTTGTTGAAATCAAACAAAGTTTAATTTTGGACCCCGATTTGGACCAACTTGAAAACTGGGCCCATAATCAAAAATCTAAATACATGTTTAGATTCAGTATATCAAAGAACCCTAAAAATTCAATTTTTGTTAAAATCAAACTAAGTTTAATTTTGGACCCTTTGGACCTTAATGTAGACCAATTTGAAAACGGAACCAAAAATTAATAATCTAAATACACGGTTAGATTCGGCATATCAAAGAACCCCAATAATTCAATTTTTGATGAAATCAAACAAAATTAAATTTTGGACCCTTTGGACCTCAATGTTGACAAATTTAAAAACGGGGCCCAAAATCCAAAAACTTAATACACGGTTAGATTCAGCATATTAAAGAACCCCAAGAATTCAAGAATAAAACCCCATTGAAATTGATCAAGAAATAAGCAATTTATACGAAGTATCTTCTTTTGCACAATACTGTGCAATTGAATATTTCTTGCTATTGCGCAATACTGTACAATTGACAATTTCTTGCTATTGCGCAATATTGTGCTATTGGATATTTCTTGCTATTGCGCAATACTGTGCAATTGAAGATTTCTTGCTATTGTGCAATACTGTGCAATTGAAGATTTCTTGCTATTGTGCAATACTGTGCAATTGAAAATTTCTTGCTATTGCACAATACTTATTATATAATAATTTACACATCCTGTTTGGTGTGTATCTCCTACCATATCATTATTATTTGCTTTTAAATATAAATCAGAAATAACCAACTTAAAATGGAAAATTTTAAAAGAAAAAAAAAAGGAAAAAAATTTTAAAAAAAATCCCCCCCCAAATTTTTTGAACCCCCTTATGATTCATCACCCCCAAACTCAATCCCAGCCTTCCCTTTGAGGTATGGTACCTTGCAGTACAATTTCAGAGAGATCCATACACTTGAACACAAGTTATTGTCTGGAAACTAGAACAAGAGTGCACACGCTGAAATGTCTCGCCTTCTTTACCAATCATTGATATTATGTTGATAGTCCTAAATATAAAGCTTTATTACAACTGTCACATAAACTTAACATTAACCAAGTAAACTAAACATTGACCAATGAACCATGAAAATGAGGTCAAGGTCAGATGAACCATGCTAGGCAGGCATGTACAGCTAACAATTCTTCCATACAACAAATATAGTTGACCTATTGCTTATAGTTTAAGAAAAACAGACGAAAACACAAAAACTTAACACTGAGCAATGAACCTTGAAAATTAGGTCAAGGTCAAATAAAACCTGCGTGACTGACATATAGATCATAAAATATTTCCATACACCAAATATAGTTGAACTATTGCATATAGTATTAGAAAAAAAGACCAAAACTCAAAAACTTAACTTTGACCACTGAACCATGAAAATGAGGTCAAGGTCAGATGACACCTGCCCGCTAGACATGTACACCTTACAATCATTCCATACACCAAATATAGTAGACCTATGGCATACAGTATAAGAAAAACAGACCAAAACACAAAAACTTAACTATAACCACTGAACCATGAAAATGAGGTCAAGGTCGGATGACACCTGCCAGTTGGACATGTACACCTTACAGTCCTTCCATACACCGAATATACTAGACCTATTGCTTATAGTATCTGAGATATGGACTTGACCACCAAAACTTAACCTTGTTCACTGATCCATGAAATGAGGTCGAGGTCAAGTGAAAACTGTCTGACGGGCATGAGGACCTTGCAAGGTACGCACATACCAAATATAGTTATCCTATTACTTATAATAAGAGAGAATTTAACATTACAAAAAATCTGAACTTTTTTTTCAAGTAGTCACTGAACCATGAAAATGAGGTCAAGGACATTGGACATGTGACTGACGGAAACTTCGTAACATGAGGCATCCATATACAAAGTATGAAGCATCCAGGTCTTCCATCTTCTAAAATATAAAGCTTTTAAGAAGTAAGCTAACGCCGCCGCCGCCGCCGCCGCCGCCGGATCGCTATCCCTATGTCGAGCTTTCTGCGACAAAAGTCGCAGGCTCGACAAAAATGCTTATTTTTGGCCCCTTTTTGGCCCCCAATTCCTAAACGTTTCGGACAATTACCCCCAAACTCAATTCCAGCTTTCCCTTTGTGATATGGAACCTTGTAGTACAATTTCAGAAATATCCAAACACTTACACACAAGTTATTGTCATGAAACTAGAAAAATGCTTGTTTTTTGCCCCTTTTTTGGCCCCTAATTCCTAAAATTTTGAGGCAATTACCCCAAAAATCAATTACAGCCTTCCCTTTGTGATATGGAACCTTGTGGTACAATGTCAGAGAGATCCATACACTTACACACAAGTTATTGTCTGGAAGTTACAAAAATGCTTATTTTTGGCCCCTTTTTGGCCCCTAATTCCTTAACTGTTGGTACCATAACCCCCAAAATCAATCCCAACCTTCCTTTCGTGGTATAGAACCTTATGGTAAAATTTCATGGAGATCCATTTACTTAAACTAAAGTTAGAGTGCGAATATGTGATATGACTGCCAATGAGACAACTATTTACATGCAGAGACCAAATGATGACTACTAAATTTGAACATAAAAGTCAGACATTTTTCCAAGGTTAACCAATTCCATTTCTGTTTCATTTTTCCTAGAGAATTTATA